ATAGTTCCTGATGTGATCTGGGTACAAAAAAATCCAAGAGGCTAAAGGACAGCAATACACATTGACTGACCTTTTTTTTTTATTTATTTACTTTGAGACAGGGTCTCACCATGTAGCTCAGACTGGTCTTGAACTATGTAGCCCAGGCTGATCTCAAACTCTTGGCGATCTTCCTGCCTCAGCATCCCAAGAGCAGGAATTATAAGCATGAATCACCATGCCCAACTCACAGTGACAGATCTTGTGTATGTTTTTTCTGTCTCTTATCATGAAAAAGAGCCAACCACAATTTGCCTTCACATGGGAAGGATCCAATTTGCATTTACTGTATTGCATAGTTATTTCAATTCACCAGATTACTGTCATAATTTAGTTTTTAAAAGATTTAGACTTGACACAGGTCTCAAGAGTAATAATACCCTATACTGATGATATCATAGTATCAGAAACTAAAGACCAAATTGGACTGACTTAAACATAGTAACATATATGACCAACGGGGGCTGATTGCTAAATCTACCAAAGGTGCAAAAGCCTGTCCATATAGTCAAATTCCTAGAAATAACCTAGACCATGACATTCCATAGATGAATAAAAATAAAGAGCCAGGCACAGTGGTGCATACCTGTAATACCAACACTTTGGAGGCTGTGGCAGGATTCCAAGTTCAAGGTTAGCCTGGGCTACAAAGAATTAAAGGCTAGCCTTAACTATATAGCAAGACTCCGTCTCAATTTAAAAAAATAAAGAAAGGGCCAGGAATACAGCTTAGTGGCGCCATGCCTGCCTGGCAAGTGTGAGGTCCTGAGTTTGATTCGCCGTACCCAAAAAAAGAAAAAAATAAATTTTTAAAATAAAAAAATAAAGAAAAGAAATAAGGAAAGAAGACAAAAATAAATTGTTATTGCCCCTTAGCCTTAGAACATTTGGCTGGTATTTTTGGATCTGAATAACTATATATTCTACATCTGAGAATATCACTATTCCTATCATTACAACTACATGGTAGTGCCCAGCACTCTGAGAGTATTATATCACATACTGCTAGCCTCAAAAAGGATCAAAATTCAAAGTTTGGATTTACTGCTTTTGCAATATTTTAAATTAAACCATCATGAACTGGAACTACTCATATGATGGATTATTTAGAAAACAACAGAACAAAACACAGGTTCCAAGACATTTGTGGTATGTTACATGCCATGGTTAAAGGATGGCATTCCTGATCTGGAGACACTCATCATAATAATCAGAGTAAAGGAGGGGCAAATAAGCACACATGAAAAATAAATGGTTAAGCTTTTTTGAAAATTGATGAAGCTTCATATTAGAAAAACTGGATTCATTTTACTATTCTATTTTTGTGTTTGTTTGAAATGTTCTATAACAGAGATAAAAATAAATGCACAAAAGGGCCGGGGATTTAGCTCAGTGGTGCCGCAAGTGCAAGGTCCTGAGTTCAATCCCCCATACCTAAATAAATAAATGCACAAAAACTAAACAAAACTAAAGGGGGAAAAGCCTACCCCAAAGCAGCTCTTTGGGGCGGGGGGAGGGGGCATGAGCCACACTCAGATGATTACGGAAGTGTCAGCAACACATACTTTAGCAGACTGGAGCTATGGCAAAAGCCTCTGTAAGTGCCACTCAGTAGTATCCACTAGGATTTTAGACCTGAAAATCTCTGGATGCTATGGTACAATATTCACCACTTGAAAAAAAAAAAAAAATCAGTTGCTACTATTAATCAAGACTTGTATGACTGAAGGACACAAAATAATCCTGAAACAACTATGTTTTGGATGATTCAAGAGAAACACCCTAAAAAGGCAGGCAGCATCCAGGAGCGTTTCCTGTAAAAGCTATGTATGGCAGCATATGACTATAATACCAGCACTCACAGAGGCTGAGGCAGGAGGAGTCCAACTTTAAGCCCAGCCTGAGTAACATGATAGAGCGAGACCCTGTCTTAAAAATTTTAAAAAGGGGGGCTGGGGATTTAGCTCAGTGGTGCTGCTGCCTGCTTCACAAGCACAAGGTCCTGAGTTTGCTCCCTGGCACCAAAATATAAATAGATAGACAGATAGATAGATAGATAGATAGATAGATAGATAGATAGAGATAAATAAATAAATGGCTGGGATATAAGCTCAGTGCAAAGGCCATAGGTCCATCCATCCATATGCAAGCCAGCCAGCCAACAAATAAATGGAGTCCCTATAAAAGAGAAATGGCTTATATAGGAACATGCAACCAGGAGAAGTCAAAGAGATTGAACCTACTTATAAGCAGTACCTCCCACAAGACTATCTTTGGAACCATCTGAGGAGCCCCTAGAGCCTAGGATTACATTGATGCTACCCCATCCACAGTTCTCTATTATAATAATCAACAAAGCATCGGGCCGGGAATTTAGCTCAGTGGTTCCACCACTTGCCTTGCAAGCCCAAGGTCCCAAGTTCAATCCCTAGTACCAAAAAAAATAGGCATCATTTAGTTTATGGACAGCAGTTCCAAGGTGAATGAATGGTCAGCATCCTCCTTGGAAGGCCACACACGACTCTGCTTGAAGGACATAAAGCATGGTACTTGTGGGTTTTTCTGAACTCTGCAGATGGTGTCAGAAGTGAAGGTGGTCTTGTGAACAGACGATGAAGAGACAGATGCTGGTGAGATTCAATAACAAGGTGTGTTGGTACACACCTAGAACCCAGCTATTCAGGAGGCTGAGGCTGCAGGATTGCAAGTGTAAGGCTAGCCTGGGCAACTTAGCCAGGCCATGCCTCAAATGAAATTAAGGGAGGCAAGGCGGGGTGGGGATGAAGAACATTTGCCTAGAATTCATGAGATCCTGGGTTCAGCCCCCACAGAATGTGGCAGGGAGGACGGGAGGGGAGCGAGGAAGGAGATGATTCAGTAATATAGGCCATACTGAAAAAAAAACTTCATACTCTAACCATGAGGAGACTACTGCAAAGTGTTTTATTGTTGTTTTCTGGGAACAACTATATTTCAACAAAATAATACTGGCAGCAACATGAAGAAAATGAATTTGATAGTAAACCTCAAGTAGAGAGATCAATTATAAGTTTGTTACAGTAATGGGAACCTTGGTTTTTTAAGTACAATGACATAAGTTTGACAATAGTACATCGAAAAATATAGTGGAAATATGAACAAAAGAAAAGTGGAGTGATATTGTAATATAGAGTATGGTCATGCATCCTTTAAGAAAGGGATAGTTAGCCAGGCATGGTGGTGCATGCCTGTAGTCCCAGCTCTCAGGAGGCTGAGGCAGGGGGATTGCCATGAGTTTGAGGCCAGCCTGGGCTACATAACAAGACCCTGCCTCAAAAAATTAAAAAAATAAAATTTAAAAGGGACAGGTTCTGAGAGCTGAATTATTAGGCAATTTTGTCATTGTGCAAACATCAGAGAATAAGCATACGTGCCCAAACTAATGAGGCTAGGGTAATCTAATAGGGCCACCTATATATATGTAGTCCCTCCTTCAACTGTTGTTTGGAGCATGACTGCATTTCTTTGTCTTCACACCTGGAACACAGCTCCTAAAACCCTTGAAATCTCTGGATTTGGAAGTGGGGGTGCAGGTGGCAGTACCAAGGATTGAATCCAAAGCTTTTGCACTGAACTACATTCCTAGTCCTTTTTTTTAATTTTGAGGATTGGGCTGGGGATGTAGGTCAGTGGTTTCTCCACCTGCCTTGCAAACACAAGGTCCCAAGCTCGATACCTGGTACAAAAATAAAAACATTCTGAGGATAACTGCATGTTCAAGGCCAGTGTGCAACTTAGTGAGAATTTTTCTCAAACTGAAAAAAAGAAGAGTGAATATACCAGACATCATGGTACATGCCTATAATCCCAGCACTCGGGAGGCTGAGGCAGGAAGACTGCCATGAGTTTGAGGCCATCCTGGGCTACACAGTGAGCTTGAGGCCAACCCAAACTGCACAGGAAGACCTTGCCCCCTCAAGCCAAATAAGAGTGGAGACATAACTTAGTGTGAGGGCCCTAGGTTCGATTCCCAGTACCAACAAAAGGAGAAGGAGAGAGGAGGGAGGGGAATTTAAAATCCAACTTCTCCTATACTTTCTTTCCTTTTTGATTTGTTTTTGCTTTTGAGGGACAGGGGTGAGACAAAGTCTCACTATGTAGTTTAACCTGGTTTTGAATTCAGTCTGGCCTTGAACTCTCAGAAATCCTCCTGCCTCAGCCTCTCAAGTGCTAAAACTACAGATGTGCCACCATTGCCTGGTTTCCTAAACTTCCTTGACAATAGACTCATGGAATATATTTCCATTCATCCAGAAAAATTGTTCTTAGAAAACACTTTAGAAAATTCTAGAGATTGTAGATAGGTCAGATCATATTTTTTTACTTGTAATAAACAGATTCTGTGAAAGCTAGAGAAATTTACTAAATGAAGAATTCTGTTATATACCTGACTAAAAATTCCAGTACTTAGGTGAAACAGCCTCATAAGTAAATATTACTGATTCTCAAGGTAAAATATGGTTAAAATATAAAGTCATGTATTAGTAACTATGCTTTGCAATTAATGCTTACTTAGCTGTTTATAAATTTTTAGTTTTCCTGCAAATTATACATCTAACTTGGTATCAATATATCTATGTCTTGATGTTAAAATAGGTATCAGCCACATTCATGAGAAGTTAGCCATACCCATATTGCCTTTAGAGATTACAATGTACAGCCTAAATATATTAGTTAGTAAAAGCTTATTTGAACCAAAAAAATAACAAATAACATAATTCCATTCATACAAAGGAAACCTGATACATTTTAACAAATATTTATAAGACAATTGGAGATGAACATGAAAACCATTAAATAATTTAGCAAAACACATATTACTTCAAGAAATAAAATACATAAAATTTAGATTTCAAATGCTGAGACAAAATTCATAAGCAGTTTTTATAATGCTTCTCAGTAAGCAATTATGACTTCTGTACCTATGTTCTTTGTGTTCCAACAGCTGACAGTCTCTACATGTTAGTCTATCACATGTTTCACAGAAAAGTTTCAATTGTTCTTGTTTGTGTACAGGGCAAAAAACAGGGCGCTGACCAGATGCTCCAACAGACTCTGTAGCAAAATAAAACAAATACTGTTTTCAACTAAACATAATTAAATTTTTTACAAATTTTCTAAATTTTAATTGATGCCAGTATGCAAAATATTATGGGATCAGAAGAGGAAGGTTAATTATAATCATTAAAACTACATGTATCTTACCTGAGACATCTTCTTTCTTCCTGATCAAGTGATCTTTAGTGAATTTTACTCTCTGATGTGCTTCGATACATGTCTTACATAGCCACTCTCCACATTCTACACAAAAGCCAACTGCACTAGCATTGTCTTCACAACTAGTACACACCTAAAAGAAAAAATAAATACTAATCTACATTAAATTTACCAAATAGAGACCCTCAAAATAAAATGGTGAGAACATTCTAATTTGCTGTCAAATACACTAGTAGATTCACTATAAATAAAGTTATTTTGTTATCCATTTATCTTCAACTAAATCCTTTTCTTATAAATCCAACTTATTTAGGTAAGTAAAAAAAAAAAAAAATCACAGGCTCAGAACATAAAGTCTATGTAAGATTTTACTTTTAAGTAATGGTTTTAGTTTCATTAACCAAGTTTGAAGGTATAGAAGAAAGCTAACCTTTATTTTCAAATTGAAATATAAAACGAAACTCTAAATTACTTAACTACCCAAACACAGTTTTTTTCTTATAGTTGATATTTTGATACCAAGAGAAGAATATAAAGAAAAATTGAGAGGCATACCTGTTCTGATTTTTCATCCGAACTGCTAGGGGCTTCAGATGTGTCTTTCACAAAATAATTATCCACAAGGTCTATCTGTCTGCATTCTTGGCGGCATACTGGACACCGTATTACACCAACTACAACACAAAATGGCAACATTAAATAATAGTGGGGGGGGTGGGTGATGCCCATATGGAAACCATTTATGTCACAGACAGATCAAAAACTGAGCATCAAGAGCTGAGTAAAATGAGTTGCTGAGCTATTCTACTGGGTGGGGTGGGGGATGATACCATACTTAGGAAAAGAAAACGAATATTCATACAGCCCCCAAACGTTGCTTTTTTACTATAGTATGTGGGTGAATAATGCTCCCAAAAGAACTCTTAAATCTTAAATCTTTCTGTGTTACTTTATATGACAAAAGGGACTTTGCAAATGTGATTAAGGTTGAGTTTTTCAGGGGAGGGAGTGTCTCACTATAGCCCAGGCTGGCCTGGAACTTGCCATCCTCCTGCCTTACTCTCCTGAGTGCTAGGATTACAGGCATTTACCGCCATCCCTGGCTGCTTAATTAAGGCTCTTCAGGTGGGAAATATTTCTGGACTGTCCAGCAGGCCCTGGTGGAGTAGGCAGAGCTGGGCATGTTGGAGCACACCTGTAATCCCAGCACTCTGGGAGGCTGAGCCAGGAGGGTCACCAAGTTTGAGACCAGCCTGGGTGATTTAACAACTTAGGAAGACCCTGTCTCAAAATTTAAAAATTTCCTAAAAAGGGTTGAGGGATACAGCTCAGGTTAAAGGCTTGGAAACCTGGATACTAGGGAAAAAAAGAAAGAGGCAAATGCAGATTAAACTACAGATAAGCAGAAGGCAACTGATAACAGAGGCAGGGACTGGAAAGATATACTTTGAAGATAACAGCAGACCTTACAGAAAAGCTGACCACTAGAAGATGAAAAGATATGAGAAAATGGATCCTCCCCCAGAGCCTGCAACAGCATCGATCCTGCCAAGACACTGGCATTAGCCTGGTAAAACTAGTTTTAAACTTCTTCCCCAGAACGGTAAGAGAATAAGATGTATACTGCTCTGAGGTACCAAGTTTGTGGTGATTTTGTTACAGGAGAAACAGAAAATTAATACACAATCTATCATATTATAAAACCTGACTTGGTTCAGAGATACTTTATGCTGCTGAGAGAAGAGGGGGTCATCTGTGCTTTCACACACAAGTGTTCTAACATCTATCAGAAAAGATAAGCTGCTGAGGTAACATATGGAAGCCAAAGCTAAGAACTAAAAAAAAAAACAGCACCAGTGTCAATATAACAAACTAGTGTGCATCAGCCATGGAAAGGAAGATACAGCATAAAGTCCTGCCTTCAAGAAAGGGTTCAAGACTATTATAAAAGGAGGCATAATGGCTCATATCTGTAAGCCCAACACTCAGGAAGCTGAGTCAAGAAGATTGTCACAAGTTTAAGGCCAGCCTAAACTACATAGTGAGACCCTGTCTCAAAAAAACCTTAAAAAAGAAAAAAGCCTAGTGTATATAATGTTTACAGCTCTTAATATCCACAATCACAGAAAGCACTACATAAAAGAATGTGATATAAACAGTTACAAAAACTGTTCAAGATGGGCCAGGGATTTAGCTCAGTGGTTTCGCTGCCTGCTGCACAAGCACAAGGACCCGAGTTCGATCCCCAGTACAAAAAAAAAAAAATTGTTCAAGACTTGTGTAATATGCAAACTACAGAAGCATATAGTCATTCTGATGGCAAATGAAAATGTAAATATCTCATTCTTAAAGTGGGAATATTAGTCTCCCAGAAGACATACAAACATGATTATTGTTACATAAACTCAAATATAATGTATATATTTGAAAACAAAATATTGTTTCACATAGCATAACATTTGTTGTATATTTTACCATCAAAACGTCACATGCAAAAAGCACACAAAGATCTTGATCAGCCAGCCAGGTGTGGTGGCACATGCCTTATAATCCTAGCACTTGGAAGGCTGAAGCACTCATAGATCTCAAGTTCAAGGCTAGCCTGAACTATGTAGAGATCAAGGACAGCCTGGACTACATTGCAAGACTTTGTTTCAATACACACATATATGCATGCATGCATATATACATACCCATACATACATAAGCAAGCAAACAAACTTGATCAAAGGCAATACACAAAAACAATTTTCCAAACCAAAGAACAGAGATTAGAGGAAAAGAATCAAGGTGTTCACCTTGAGGTGGTATGAATTAAATTACAAATAACATATAACTAAAAAGGAAGTTAAATATACTACAAAGGAAGTTAAATATAACTAAATGTAAAGACAAGATAGAGAGCAACGAAGAGGGAATCAGAACCAGGAGTGGTAGTGCACACATGTAATTCAACACTCTGAGGCAGGACGATGAAGAGTATGAGGCCAGTCTGGGCTACACAGAGTGTTCAAGGTTGACTTGAACTAAACAGTGAGACCCTGTCTCAAAAAAACAAAACAAGGGCCAGGTATTTAGCTCAATGGTTCTGCCACCTGCCTCGAAAGCACAAGGACCCGAGTTTGGTCCCTGGTACAAAAAAAAACAAACACAAAACAAAACAAAAAGTGGGTTAATCAGTTAACTTTTCAAGCTTTCAATCTGCTTTCTCTTTGTTGATGTTAATCTGTACACTTTCATTGTAACAAAAGGCAATCATGAATATAAAAGTTTTCTGAGTCCTTCTAGCAGATAGTCATTAGTATTAGGAAATCCCAGCTCAACTAAGGAGGAAACATGCAAACTTAGCATGTGCACAAAAAAACTTTAGGGGGTGCTTCTGGGGATCGAACTCAGGACCTTGCACTTGCAAGGCAGGCGCAGTGCCACTGAGCTAAATCCCCGGCCCAGCATGTGCAAAATTTTAAAACAGAAAATAGAGACCATAAAAGATGGCACAAAATATCTCTGTGTACATATAATCACATTGACAAAATACTGAGAAAGTTAATATCAAATTTCTAACACCTAAATGAAGGACTGTTACTGAATGACACAAAAGACGGCGAGACATCCTAAATTTTGAGCCAAAAAGACTTAATTTCGGACTAGATATGTAGCTCAGGAGAACAGAGTATGCTTAGCATGTGTAAGGTCTTCAGTTCAATTCCAGGGAGCAAATGAAGGAAAAGATGGTTTCATCAATTAGCTATTATATCTGTGTAAAAAGGTGATTCAATAGAGTCCCATCCATTGTTCTATTTCTTTTGAAGCCCAACAACGGATTCTCAGCTTCTTATAAATTTCCAAGTCAATCTAGCACACTGACAACACAAATGCACCTTTTTCTCAGTATAAATTTGTCCTAAAATAACAGGAATTTAGAAGATTAATACAAATCCAAATAGAAATTTAGAAGATTAATGCAATATCCAAAGATGAAAGTGGAGGAAGGGACATGGCATACATATCAGTAAATAATCAATTTTAAGCTGGGTGTGGTGGCGCATGTCTGTAACCCCAGCACTCAGAAGGCTGAGGCAGGAGGATCACCAGGAGTTCAAGGCCAGCCTGAACTTTGTAGCGAGACCCTGTCTCCAAAAAAAAAAAATTTTTTTAATTAAAAAGCAATCAATTTTAAGATAATGTAGATGGAAAAGGATAACTAAACAGTGAAGAAATCCAGCCTTGTACATTCAGAAAGGAGGGGATAAATCTGAGAAAGACTTTTGCTGGAAAGCTTTCCAGAGAAGCTTAGCATTCAGAAACTTAAGACATGAAGTTCCAATGAGAAATAAGTAACAAATCCAAGTCTAAAGGTATCAGCAACCCATACTCCTACACTGATTACTTAGCCTCTGATATTACCCCACAGCCAGGGCACCTGATCCTCAAAACAGCTAAAGGTTGTTTAGGGATTTTTTTTTTCCTTGCTATTTACTTCCTTATTTATCAACAAACTTCAAAATTATATAAATGATTGCACTGAAAATGAGATCCATTTTATATTTTCCAAATAAATTCATGAGTGTTGAGTAACCCTGGTATAATTACTGTATAGCAAATAAGTGTGCTCCTACCTCAATCACTCAGTGTTAGTTGCCATGGTGAGCTTCGATCATTATATAAAACATTTAAGCTTCAAAGACAAACCTACTAACCAGTTTTGTGCATAATATCTATTCCTTGAGTGGTTTTATCACTAGTTCACTCATGCTTATTAAGCTGCTTTATTCTGAATGCCATGTGCTCACTTTGGCAGCACATACATTCTGAATGCCATACTGTTATAATTGTGGAGAGGGGCATTTAAGAGGAGAGAAGAGCCTCTTTTTAAGGGTCACAGTTGGAGTCAGATACGGTCTTCCAGGCCTGAAATCCAGGCACTCTGAGAGGCTGAGGCAGGGGATAGCAAATGAATCCAGACTGGGAAGCTTAGAAATTTAGCAAAACCCTGTTTCAAAAATAAAAAGTAAAAATAAAAAAATTTTAAAAGTAAAAAATAAGGGCCAGGGATTTGGCTCAGTGATTCTGCCACCAGCCTCACAAGTGCAAGGTCCTGAGTTCGATCCCTGTACCACAAAAAAGGTAAAAATTTAAAAAAATAAGAAGAGCTGGGACTATAGCTCAGTGTGAAGATCCTGGGTTCAATCCCCAGTACAGCAAAAAAAGAAACACACACACACACACACACACACACACACACACAGTAAAGAGGAGCTTGCCTGGGGGCTGGGCAGTGGTTCCTCCACCTGGCTAGAAAGCACAAGGTCCTGAGTTCGATCCCCAGTACAAAAAAAAATAGGCCAAGGGTGGTGGAGCATGTCTATAATCCCAGCACTCGGGAGGCTGAGGCAGAAGGATCACCACAAGGAGGCCAGCCAGGGCTACATAATGAGACCTTGTCTCAAAAAATAAAAACAAACAAAAAACACCAAAAATACCCCCTTAAAAAACCAAGTAAACCTGGAAACAAATTCTGAAGTGCCAAAGCAAAGAACTCAAAGCCCAAGCAGCAAGCACAGATTCAAGTGGCCACAGGAGTTATTAATCACTACAGTAACTGTGAAAAGGGAAATAAAGTTTAAAAGATGAAACTCAACTCCGTGTATAAAGCTAAGGAGCACGCTTTAGG